TAAATGATACCTCAGGCAAGTGAAACTTAAGTGACACTTTACGCTTTTCCAAAGCATCCATTTACCGCCACTGAATTATGACAAGAAACTCATGCTCCTAACCAGACAAATATTTTACCTGATGCCTCCACATTATCCCATGTTTAAATGTGAGCTTCTGAGAATTATTCCATATTTTTGTTGTAAATATTCTTAAAATGACAAAGAATAAGTAAATAGGAATCATAATAAGCAGTAAAGCTACTTCAGCAGCACCCTGTGTCAAATGAGGTGAGCTGAGGCGAATTGACTGTGCACTAATTGGATTTGTAAAATGATTCAGAGTAATTTAAAAAGCATTTACACAAGGTCAGATCTGAACTGGTTTCTAAAAAGAACCATAGAGAAGAATGAAATGTCCAAGTAATTACACTGGACATGTAGATCTAACACTGTATCTATTAAATTGGGCATGAAATTGGACTTTTTTTAAAGTACAGTAGGTCTTACACTATAAATCTCTAGACATTTTTCTATATTTTTGATAAAATGTTTAATTATACTAAGTACAGATATGTCATAGAAAGGAACTATTGCTCATGCACCATTTTTCCTAAATTAGCAACTACTGTAAGCTAATTTCTTTCTTAAATTTTGTACAGTTGTGGCATATTGAAAATTGGCTGACTTGGTTTCAGCTTATTCCAGTATCTACAGTCTTGCCAATAGAAAGAGACATTGTTATCACTTTCTCCTCCACCACCTCCATGCCCCTTGTCTCTCTTAGTTTAGGGTTGATTTGTAAATGTCTTACTATATAAAATAATTAATGCTAAATTATTCCATGTTGTTATATTATCAGTGTCCTATCTGAATCCATACTAATATAATTAGAGATAAAGTCGACACTGAAATAACAAGTAGCTCTTAAAGTTCCATGCATGTTAAGTGGCATTTACTGTGCTGGCAGAACAGAATTTAGATCTCGAAAATAATTTGATATTAAAAGACAAAAGTAAACAAATTAGACTGTAAGTTTGTTTCTTCCCCCTGGGTATTAATCAGCCCCGGTAAACCTTGTATTGTACTCTTCAAATCTGCATTAATCAGAATTTAGGTTTTGAAAGTCAAAAGGAAAAAAATTGTCTCCCTCTGGTGGGGAATATAACAAGTTTTTCTTTCCTTTTTTTCCTGCAGTCAATTTCAGCTAAGTTTCATGATGCTTTAGAAGAGTACACTTGGATAATCAGTTTATCATCTTTTGAACAGATTTTGCTCTCTTTTGACATAATCAACACTCAGAAAATCCAGATTCAAAAGTCATTTTATTGCTTTTACTTTTTTTTTCCTGAATAAAAGGATAAAAGAAGGAAAATAGAAAGCCAATGTCAAGAAGTAGGAAAGTTCTGTTTTACATGAAATACTCAGCTCTAAATGGACTGGGGATAAAAATTTTATTTTAGAATCTGTCAGTTTTGAACTTACACCCCTGAATAAGCTGTTTCAGAAAAGGAAAGTCCTGGAAGACCACCCCACACTCCCTTCACCCAGATTGTCTGTCAAGAGTTCCCTGGCTTCTCTCCTTTCTCTGTAAGGCCAAAACACTTTCCCGTGACCTCCACTGTATCACCTATTGCTTACGTTGTGATTCTTGTTTGTTGTCAATATCTTCAGTAAGGCTACGAGCCTCTCGAAGAGAGAGATCCTGCCTCATACATCTCCAAGTCACTAGTATTTAGCTTGGTCTTCAGCACAAAGAAGAACTTACCTCTGTGCTGGGCAGTGTGCAAAGCTTTCAGCATACAACCATGGAGAAGATACATCTGTTTCCTGCCTTCATGAAACTATACTCTAATGGGAAAAAATGGGTGGATCTGGAGTACATTTTACCGTAGAAACAATATATTAAATAGCAACTACTAACCCATAAAAGCCTATACAGTTTATATTTGATGTTGAAATGAGTTAAAATTTCCCTTTAGGCAGATTCATCCCTTAAAAGTTCTACAGAGTCATTCTCATTGTGATGTGTAGAAAGAATTTAGAACTAGAAGTTTTTATGTCTGGAACCATTCAGTGAACAAACATGTACTGAGTATCTACCATGTGTCAGGCACTGTGCTAAGCCATGGAAACACATTCTGGTCAGGAAAGCCGGGTAATAAATAAGTAAACACATTTATTAAAGCTGAGCATAGCTTGTAATTTGCGCTATGAAGGAAAAAAAAATAAGGTGACAGAGGATGGTGTATATCAATTGGTGTTCGAGCAGGAAACAGATTTTATACTCAATGAGGTAATTGATGAGAGTTTAATAAAGGGACTTTGTAAAATGTGTGCACAGTATTAAGGTAAACCAGTAAGGGAAAGCAAAACACCTTAGAACTAGTAAAAGTGGAAAGTCACTACTACCCGTAGGCCTCAGTAGAGAGGGAAAGGAGCAGTTACCAGAACACAAAGAAAAAACTATAGCTAAAGGAAAGGATCTTCCAACAAGAACTCTGGTTTTCAGCATCAAACACAGCCACCAGTGACTTGCAGTCCAGGCCTGGAGGGTCATAAATCCACTGATCTCTCTCTCCTCTGAGAGTACCCTGCCAAGTCTCCCGTTGGTCAAACTCAACCAGAAGCCAGAAGGCAATGGAGCTTTCTGCTGCTTTCCTTAAAGGTCAGCTTCCTGTCACAGGTAGAAAAAGTCTCTAAAGAGTGGCAAATGGAGAACAGTGGCACAGAGAGTTATTAAGTCATCCAGTGCTGGAAGAGGTGATATCAGAGTCAAAATCCACATAAAATTGTTTTAATGGAGACCAGAGCAAGTAGAGATTTTGAAACAGGAAAAGTCTTGGTGGTCCAACTCTACAACTAACTAGAAACGTAATGTTGTACGAGTCACTTCACATTTTGGGCTATATCAGTAAAATGAACAGATTGGACTATGACGATCTCTAAGCTCCCTTTCATCTTGAACCATGTGGAATTCTCTTTGAATTTCATGACTCTACTTCCTCTTAATATCCCCTCCCATGATGCTTCAATAATATGAGGATACATTGAATGTTTACAAATTAGGGCCTCACTAGATTTTCTGAGAGTTGACAGTCCCACAAGTAAAGAAGAAGGGAAATGAAAACACCTGCCTAGACTTATCCTACTCACAGAGTTTGCAGCAAATCTTTGCCTATGTGTGAAAGCATATGAAGAGACCTGGCTCATGACATACCCAAAGCTGACACATCTTCATAGAAAATGGTTTAATTGAAATTATCCCGAGAACATGATTTACTCCTTTTGAAAATTTCACCAGAGTTTTTCCATTGTCAATTAAAACTTTTTACAAACCACATTTTAAAGCTGGCAAAAGAAAGTTCAAATGACATGGATTATCTTTCTCTTGCAACTAATATACATACATCAGGGTTTATTGTGACAGTCACAAGTGAAGTACACTAAATTAAATTATTATTCCCATCTTAACTGACTCACTGGGTAGAAATAAGTTCACATGCCAATATAGGGGCTGATCTTGGTCCACGTGACTGTACCATTGGGATATAAATTATCACAATATTTGTGTACTAACTGGATGAAAAGTGTAAACTTTTTCTTTTTCTTTTTCTTTTTTTTTTAAACTTTTTTCTTGCTTTCATGGGGACTGGCCTATACATGGAATTCTATGTAATGGGTCAGAATGCAATAGTAGAAGGGGTAGACATTTCTCAATCCAAAAACTGTTAATTCATTCTCTTATTCATTCATTCCAAATTGACTTACTAAATGCCAGTCACCAATGTTTGTGTAATAGATGGTAAAGAAGAGCTAGTACTCATGGAGCTGATCAGTAGGAGCTGCCACCACCAGATGTCCCTAACTCTACCCCTCACCAATAATCCTCTCTGAGTATGGAAACATCTTTTTAACCTTAAAAGGTTTCATATTCACCACATTTGTACAAAAATAGGTACGTTTTAGTGTCTGTTAACTGAAAAAATACTTAATGACACATATGACAGTACATTCAGTAATCCTTTCAATAAACATATTTATTCATCATAAGAATCTCTACGTATATGTGAAAGGAAGTAGTGTATTCATTCAGGAAACACTGTTTTGCCCACTGACAATATATCATGTGCTTATGGAATTGCAGACCTTTTGCCATGGAGCCTAACCCCTCCCCAGAAGTCTACAGACTTCAGGTACAGAGATACTGTGCTGAAGTCTGTGATGACCTAAAACCAGGCTGTGACCTCCACAGGCCCAATGCACTTGCCGTATTACGCCATAAGAATGATGCCATGTTCATACAATGTTAACTCTGTCAGTTTCTAGCAATGCTATTTTCTTGCCCCCAAAATCTCATAGTTTATATGAAAATAGTTTTCAGATGTTTTAGTCATATCCTGTTTCACACCGCACCACCTTTTGCCCCAGACACAACTGCATGTTGGCAGAAGGAAAGCTGAACTCTTCAAAGAAACTCCACCTTCTTACCATAAGGATGATGGTTTTTAGACAAAGGTTGTGTTTTGGATTCTCTTGTTACCTAATATCATCCCTGCCCCTAAAAGACACTTCTCGATCACTCAGCTAAATGGACTTCTATCAGGTCCACCTCACTAAATGTCCAAATGTGCCAGTAAATGTCCAAATCCCAAAAGAAAACATAACTTGACCTGATGCTTAGCATGACTCCACCATGCTAAACAATAGGTAACAAGTATCAAATAGTTGTGTAGCCAGTGTGCTGAGAGACAAGAGAGAAATTTTCGCTAATTCTGCTGGGGGAAGAGTTCCCAGAAAGTGCATTTGACTTGGGCCTTAAAGAGTAAGTATACTTTTTTCTTTTTCTTTTTCTTTTATTATTATACTTTAAGGTCCAGGGTACATGTATACTTTTAACACATTGTGGAGATAGAAGAGTCATCCAGGGGAAACATTTCTAGGGAAAAATGAGAATAGAGGAGATCTGGAACACAACAAGCTGTCTAGGGACTCGGTTTTTTATTTTAGGCAATAATTACCGGCTTACGCAGTTTAAGAAGTCAGTGTTGACCATTGCTTGGTAGACGGAGAAGAGCACACCAGTGAAGGAAAACAGCATTCCCAAAGAGCAGATGAAAAAAAAAAAAAAAAAAAAAAAGATAAATGCCACAGTAAAGACAGAACCCAGGCAGAAGTAATCTTTTCCTCCTTCAAACCCTTTGGTACTTTTCATTCCACTCACATGGCACTTATCACAGATTACTTTGCCATCCAGTCCTTTATGTTCTTTTATTTTTCCCTCTAGTGGATTGTAATTGAATTCACACAAAGGGCAGCAATGTGATAGAGTGTAAATAGCAGAGGATTTGTAACCGGACAGTCATGTTCAAATCCTAGCTTCAACACTCCATGTGTATCACCTCAGACAGGTCTCTCAACCTCTCTTGGTTTTCATTCTTTATAAAATATGGATGATAATGCATATTTATGACAAAATGACAAAACAACTCTTGGGGTTGTTTTTAAGAGTAAGTGAATGAAATAAGGCATACGAAGTCTAGCATACAGGAGACACGCAACAAATATATTTCTTCCCCAATCTTATCTCCATGTGAGAAAATGATTATCTTCACATCTTTCTCATAGTTGGTGCTCATTATGGGCTAAAGACAAAGTAGTTGTGTTACAGCATTGCATTCCATGTCACCCAGATTATACTGCCTTGAATAATTTGGATTGGTTTGTAGTCTACATGAAGTTTACTCCAAAAATCATTTATGAATCACCTTCAATAACTGGCACTGCTAGTGCCTAGGGCCATAAAATATGTTCAACAGGGGTCTTGCACTCTGAGTGAGTTATTTCTTTGGTGACTTATCCCTATAGAAAGACTTTTAAGGAAATTAACCAATCATATGGTGAATGGGGTCACTAAACTGAAGTAATACAATAATATATTTTTAGAGTCAGGTAATTCCTTCATGAGAATGCTTGATAATGTTATGAGGGCTTTAGACAAAAACTAATACTACAGCTAAAATCAAGACTCTTACCAGAAGAAAATATCTGGGGAGAAAATGTTGCATTCTACACTCACAAAACTGTGTTTGATCTTATTAGTGGATTGGTCCTTTGAGTATGATTGATGGATAGATTTAAAACTGGTTCAGTGGTGTAATAAAATTCCTGTTTACACACTTTTGTGTAACCTCAGGAGCTGGGAAATCACCATCCCAGGTTGTGATCCAAGATGAGATTATTTAAGGTAGCACCATGCATGATAGAAGCCTAAAGGAAAGAGGCTCAGTGAGGAACAGCTCAGACAGTGGCCACAAGTCATCTCCCAAGGGCAGAATGTCCCACTATCATAGATAGAACAGTACTAAATGTGGCAGTACTTGTGGACAAACACAATAATCCAAAGATGCAGAAGAACAGGAAGAGATAAGAAAACTCAAGCATACCTTAGATAATCAAGACTAAGAGGCTACTTAATTAGAATTTAATTGGAGTGGCTCAAAAATAAACTGTAAATAGGTCCAGTTTAGGGAGAAACCTTATCCCTAATCACATTGCTGTTGTGACTATGCTCTGTTCTCTCTCCTTTACTCCACTATCTAGCGTCTTGACCCAATCCCTTATCCCTTTCTATATTTGTAAGGAGAGAATATTTATCAAGCCCCTCATATTGGCTGGGCACTGTGCAAGGCATTCACACGTGGTAGCTATTTCATATTACAATTACCCTAAGAATTCAGTGGTGGTATTAACCCCATTTTGCAGATGAGGAACTCAAGACTTAGAAAAGTAAGGACCTGCCCATATTTATCCATAGCTAAGTAGAAGAGCTGAAATATGAACTCAGGTCTGTCTGATGACAAAGTCTGTGCTTCTTAGACTGTTCAAGTTTAATATGTTACTCCTCTAACCAGTACTTATATTTTATACACTGATAAGTACTTATTACATTTTAATTTATTATATACTCTCATAAAAATTTTTTAAATCATTTTAGACTCAAAGAAATACATTTCTAATGGTAAGATTTCAGCTGAGGTGCAGTGATAACTGGAAGCCAGGGAGATAAAATAAGCAGTAGAAAATCATCCTAGTTGAACTCAAATTATATCCCATGGGTGGCTAATGCAGCCAAGTCATAGGGCTAGATGTGAGTCAGAAAGAAAATGTTTTTGAACCTGCAACAGAGCTTCAAAGTGGTATGGCTGAAAGAGAGTGATAAGGTCGAACAAAAACTGCCTCCAACTTAACCTCAAGAAATGGAAAAAAAATGGGAATACACTTCAGAATGGGGATAAGAGCTGGATATACTAGTGCTGAGCTTCCCTCCTTCCTAAAATACATTCTATGACTTTACTATTCATGAGTATAAATGTTGTCTAGGCTATTCCCAGTTTTTTTTTTTAAAAAAAAAGCAATTGGCCATATCCTTTTCAGCATTTCAATGTTGAGCTATTATAATCTCACATTCCAGTGGCCTTCTAACTGCATGGTTATAGTCTCCTTACACTTACTCTGAAATTGTTTTTCCATTGTTATCTTACATTATAGTCGCATCGTAATGTCATGTTTAAAGGTTCCCCATACACTTGTAATGAAATCGTTTTGCAGTTCAGAATGGCATCATATTGGCACTTTAAGCAGGGTATCCATCACCCTGTATTGATAGTTTTCACAACAAAACACCCTATTTTAGTGACTGTGAAAGTAAATAGCTGTTGCCAGTGATCTGTTCTTCCATTTCAAACTTAAATGGTCTCATCTGTTTTATTTTACCTTGCAATTTTCACACCCACTGTGGTATAGGCCAAATTTATACTAGTTGCTTTCAAATGAGGACTGTCATTCCATTGGCTCATAAATGTTCATATGACAAGCCACTTATCTGTTTTGGTTTGGCCTTTTTGCAACAGATAACTCTTTACAGTCTGATAATCAATACACTTTGGCCACTTTATTAGTAAAGTTAATGTAGATAAGTCTTCTGCTAATCAAAATTTAGAGGCAAATTATTTGGTAAAGTTTTCAAATCAAACAAACTGAATATCTAAAAGCAATGTGTGCAACTACGAAAATTTTATAACACACTAACACCAAAGAAAGAATTCTACTTCCAAATGGTCACACATGAAAAATTTGAGTGGTAATTTGAGGCAAAATTTAATGAAAGACAAGAAATTTAAGAAGGATAAGTGTTATATTATAATTATTACCAAAAAACAGACACTTTTTATTTAATTTTTTTAAAACATCATCATCACCTTTTGTTGGTTAAACTTTGAGAGGTTAACAATTTGGTTCGAGTCTCCACTTCAGAAATTAAATGTTACCTTACTCACACTTGGAAGTAGGCCAGGATGGGTGCAAGTCTCCTGACAACAGGCTTTGTTTTCAAGATCTTTCTATTCTCTGATACTAAAGGGGCCATTATTGCCTCCAACACAATTCCTCTACAGCTGTTTTGACAGTTCTTCACAGGTCCAGCTAGAAGTTGGAGGAGCAAAAGAGAAAACAAAAGTGATAAATTCTTGTAAGAAAAGATTTCTGCTAGCATTTTCAAACTCAAATTTGATATTCAGTTGGACCTGGGGGCAAAGTTTCAGATAAGCCTTTATTGTATATAAAACTACTTCTCTGTCTTTGGGAGCTAACACTGATAATGAGGATGATGCAGCTAGCAAACCAGTTACATCCAAGTGTTAAAGACCATATATCCACTTGTTTTGGGTGTTTTTGCTTGAGCTAATGCTCAAATATGTTTTCTGTCAGGAAACAAGTGGCAGTAGCTGCAGCAATGATATTGGTTCTTGGATAACCCAAGGTGCCCCAAGAAATGATAATAATTTCTTTAAAATCTCCTCCCCAAATTTGAATGCACTTTATTTAAAAGCTAAATATATGCTCTCCACAAGAGACTATGGCATGAGGTGAAAAGCCTAACTAAATACGAAATAGGATTAAGAATCACTCCACAGTGCCCAGCCCAAATGCTACCATCTCAGTGTGAAGGTCCCCTGACTTTCATTTCAAAATTGCATTTAAAATAAACCAAAGACAAAAATTCTTATTTGAATGACCACACATGAAAAACTTGAGTGCAGTTTTAAAATATAAGCCTAATTATAGGCAGCTGAGTACTGCCTGGGGAAAAAAAAAATCATATAACCTTGTAGAAGGGCCTAACTATACATTCATAGTGTCTGAATTTCTCTTCCCTCTGGCTCTAAGAGCATTTTAACTACTTATAATCAGCATCCTCCTCTACTCCTGAAAGTAACTGGTAGTTCCAGACTTTCTTCAGTCTCCACAGAGGCTCAACCCTGCCCCTCTCATTCATAGCAGTTAATACTGCTTCCCTTTTCATCAGGAAAATTGAATTCATTGGTGTGATCCCAAAATCCAGCTTTCTATCTCATTGTACCCACTACAACCTACAAGTGTACCTATGGCCTCACACATTGGCACTTTTCTTCCAGTCTCAGAGAAAAAGGTGAGTTTTCCTTTGTTTAAGACCCATCTTCTTCCTCTGGGAGCATCATTTAATCAGGTGAACCTCTCTCACATACATGTCAAGCCAGTCTGTCTCTCTTTCTCTCCTACTGTCTCCTTTTCAGCATATAAACATCTTCAAGCTGCTCCCATCAGTGGAAAAAGATTATCCCTCGATTCCATATCTCCCTTAGCCCCATATCTGCCCCAAATTATGGTCTAGCTTCTCTCCCCACCCCACCATATCTCCAGCTAAACTTTTCAAAACATCAGCATCCATCATTTTCATTCACAGCTCCATTGTAATGTCCTCTATACCTTCCTTTCTACTGAAATTTTCCTTATTTCAGTAGTCATCTTTCTGTATTTCACTAGTTACACTGAATTCTGTTAATAATTATCTCCTCCTTAATGAAACTCTATTCTACCTCGACTTCAATTCAACCATCCTTTCCTGATTTTCTCCAATCCACTCACTATTTCTTCTCTCCTTTTGACATCAGCTCATCTTCCTCTACCTACCCCTTCAGTGGTGTTTCTTCACCTTCTAAATACTATTCCTCCTTTACCCTCATAAAACTTCTTTCATCCTTGTGACTCTAAATACCACATAAAAGTGGATGTGTCCTTTACCTCCAACACTGACTTCTCTCCTGATTTTTCTATTCATATATATAACTGCCCACTAAACAACTCTAACCGAATGTCCTGTAGACATCATAAACTTAGCATGTCCAAAGTGGCATTTATCATCTTCTCCCAAACTCATCTCTTCTTGCTATATCCTCTTTCTAAATTAAAATCACCTCTATCCCCTGAGACATCCAAACCAGAAACTTAGGAATCATCCTTGACTGGCTACTTCATTCTCTACATTAACCAAGCATTTCTGACTTAGTCAATTAAAATGTTACTGAATATCATACTCTCCTCTCCATCCCTACTGCTTCTCCCTTAGTGAAAGCCCTGGTGATCAGAAGCTAGTTTCTTCAACAGTCTCTGTATCTGTCTGCCTTTATTTGGTCTTGCTGCCTTCAAACAATCTTCTGCAAAACCACCAGACTGATATACCTAAAGGCCTAACCATATCCTTCCCCTTCTTAGAAACCCTTTAGTTACTTCTCTCCACAGTTTTCCAAGCTCCTTCACATTGCATACTTTACCTTAAAGAGCTCTCTGTCTCTATTGATCTCTCCAGCTTCATCTCTCACTTCTTCCTGACTCATGTTGTATGATCTAGAAACACTTCAAACTTTCTCACAAATACCACTCTTCTTCACACATCCATGACTTCACATGGACTCAAGGGAAGATATGTGGGGTCCTTCTCTAGTTTGACTTTGATCTATCAGTCAAACTGTGGGTATTTGTCGGCCTTTTTTGGATTACATACTCAAATTGCCTCAGTTAAAGCAGCTTTATGGTAACATAACTGGGGAAATAAGAGACAGGAAATCACACAAAAGCAACACAGAGCCAGACCTAAGGGAGCACTGGAATATCATTCTAAATACAACATTAACTCTAGTAGGGCAGGAGCAGTGGGGAGCACTCCATGGCCACTCACAGTTTCCCCTCCAGAAGTATCTATTCATGGCTCAATTGTTCTACCATTACGGTGGTCCAACTGTTCATAGTGGTTCTGCTTTACTGGTTTGGGCACAATTGATTTATTTACTATCACCATACTGTGGATTTTCTCTATTCTCTTTTCTAGTTCATGGATGTTTATTGTCTTCTCTCTGCATGTCTTTCTGTTTTACCTCTTACCTGCCTTATCATTTTATGTATGACCAGAATTTAAACTTTCCCTAAGAGAGGATCAGATTGGTTGGTCAGATACCATGTGTATAGATATTGTGGGTACCTCTTTGAGAAGCATTATCCCCCTTAACCACTTCATAGGCCACTTTTGTTGAAGTGTCCTTGTCCTGAGTGTGAGTTTCATATGGAGAAATTATGAAGATTTTTTAAAAATCTGCTACCAAGAAGACTTTGGATATAAGTGCACTCTGAGATCCCTCAAGAGAAGGTAATATAACTGGCAGAAACTTTTATGACTTGTAAGTTCACTTTTTAGACAAGATTGGGCACATTCAGGGTGGTATGGTCTTAGATGTAAGTTCACTGTTTAAATTCTTACAGTTACACGATCATAACACTCACGTTTTACTGAGCAATGCCTAGGTGACAAATACTTTACATACATTATTTTAATTCTTATGAAAACACTGGAAGTCAGTCACTAGTCACACCTTACTAAAAATCAACAAGGAAAATTAGTATGTTCAAGGTTGCCCAAGTGACCTAATAAGTGATAAAAGAATTCTAATCCAAAACTTCCTGGTTCCAAGGCTAATCCTATTCCTTCTGTACCTTTGCTACATCTAGACTATATTTCTTCATCCTCTTGTCTGTAATTGATTACAGAATGCTCTATAATACTAACTACTTTATAGCTTTTCTTATTCTTCAGCCTTGTCTTTGTTCAATACAAGAACAAAGTTGCAGCTTTTGACACATGATGTCCTAGTCTCATTGTGTCTAATATATGTGGGAACATTTTCTCCAAATTTCTGTCTGTATCATTCTCAGTCAAAAATTGATCAAAGTTTAAAAATTGACAGTATGATGTCCTCATTAGTCCAGCTCTTCTCTCATTGAGAAGATGGCTTCAGTATAGATGTAGCGTAGCAGCATTTTTTTCTTTAGTATGTGGCTGCACATTAAATATACAAATATGCTGACATCTAAGTAATTTTAAAGGGAGAGAAATGAATGTGGTGTTTTAACTTTTGTTGACTCAGTAAAGAGGCTGGGAGTGTTCATATTTTAAATAAATGTATATAAAATAAAAATGTACATTTCAATGAAGTAACAAAAATGTGTGCTGAAGTAAAAAAAATTTCAGTGGAAATACAAATATCCTCTTCTTTCTGAGTGTAGTTTTCAAAACTGAAGAGCTTAAGACCATGAACAACTACACACACCCCAGCTTATCTTAGTTCAAATACCACTCAGCGGTGCTGAGTTGAGAGAAATCCTTTGTGACATCAGGATGTTACACAACTAAACATGACTTCCAACATTTTATTTCTATCGTTCTTTTCAAATTGCATTCACGGCCACAACTGCTCTTTTCTAATAAAGGTGAGAGCAATAGCATTTCTTCTTTTAGAATAGCAATGATATTACCAAAGAAAAATAATCAAAGTTGGCAAATTTATTTTGGAATTCTCAATGGAAACCAACGTTCATTTAACTTGTCTTATAGCTCGCATCCCCCAAATCATCACCCGGGAATAGTAGCTTACAAATTTTAACATTAAATAAACGTAAAGCATTAGAACAGATGCAAAGTACTATTATTTTGACATACTGTAATTTGAAAAGGGTAAATCAATTTAAACCATTTTTGTTTAAAATCAGCTCCTAAGGCTATAAACTCATAGTGGTTGCCAAGTTTCAACCCAAAGTGAATGTTAAGGTCTATGTTATTAACCCTTGAAAAATGAGCTCCATCATGGAAACAATGACAGACCTGGGCACTACCAGGTGCAGCTGCTGAAACTGACAGTCAGTCAAGTAAGAGTAATGCATGGTTTCTTCATATGCAAATCACATAATATGTGCTTACCTTTAAAGAGCAATGTCAGATTATTGTAAAAGTGTTTAGATATAAATACCTTTTCTTAAGAAACCAAATTCATTTATACTGAACTCTCTATGGCTGACATAGCATGATAAATCACCTCATTACACAGGAAGCCATAAATATGGCTATTGAGGATGAGTGTGATTGTAAATGAGACTGCTGGAATTCTACTGTGTCTTGCAATGACCCTCAATAAAAAGATACCTGTAGATCATGGTAAGTTTCCCTTGGAAATAGTGCCCCACACTTACAATGTTATCCAAATAAGTTTTCTGAACCTTGGGGTTTGTTTCTTAAAATAACACTATTAGGGTATATTTTTCATGGCAATGTCCATGAGTTAAACAACAATAAACCTTCTAAACATGTTGCAACACATTAGTAAATACAAATTGATGAGTTTATATCCTGGGAAAAGTCACAAAGTAGCCTTCTGGGGTGCTAAGGATATTCTAAATCTTAATCTGATGGTCATTCCAAGGAGTATGTGTGTTAGTTCATTTTCATACTGCTATAAAGAACTACCCAAGACTAGGTAATTTATAAAGGAAAGAGGTTTAACTGACTGACAGTTCAGCATGGCTGAGGAGGCCTCAGGAAACTTACAATCATGGCAGAAGGTGAAGGAGAAGCAAGGTAGCTTCTTCACAAGGCGGCAGGAAGGAAAACTGGTGAGCAAAGAGGGAAAAGTCCCTTATAAAACCATCAGATCTTGTGAGAACTCACTCATTATCATGAGAATAGCACAGGGGAGATGGCCCCCCAAGATTCAATTACCTCCACCTGGTCTCTTCCTTGACACCTGGGGATTAAGGAGATTATAGGAATTACAACTCAAGATGAGATTTGGGTGGGAACACAAAGCCTAACCATATCAATGTGTGTGTATACATGTGTGCGTATAATAACAGAGCTGTACACTTAAGATTTGTGCACTTTATTCTATGCAGATTATTTTGCAATTTTTTACAAAAAGTTAAAAAGCAAAACAAAGCAAAAACATTCTGACATCTGTAAGTCATTTTTTAAATAACAACTCAGAACAAGAACTGCTAATGTGAACTTTAAGTATCACCTCCCAGATTGGAAGCCCATGTCCTATTCTCCAGTCCTTGCCTCCCAAATCCTTTTATATTCTTCATGTAAAAAAATGTCAAGGTAGAACTCTTCCTGGGGTGAATTTACTATTCAAGTCTGGAAACATTCAGGCTAAAGTGAGATTTCCAAAAAAGGTTGTAATGCCTTTATAGAGAAGAAGTAAGATGAGAAGTCGTCCAGACAGCTGGCAGAAAAAAAGGACAGAGAGAAGGAAGATGTAAAGTGTTCTGAAATATATACAGAGCTGAAGATCAAAGATCCCTAGTATGTCCATCCAAGGGAGTCCCCACAGGTTTCTTGATCCTCAGTTCATCATTCCCACCATTATTCATATTCTTATAAACCTCTCACATCCAGCTCACTTCCCTCTCACCTGCTCAATCACCAGGTATAGGACAAAAGGAACTACAAAGTCCCCAGCTGTGCTGTCTGCCAAAGACAATAGGTGCTGTAACAATAGCTCAGGCTCATGTTTAAAAATCAGAACATCCATTTGATTTTCAATTTATCTTTACGTTAGAAACTTTTCTGGCTCTTGGTACAGAAAACCCAAAGCACATTCGATATCTGTGCTTATGCAGTACACAGACACCTGAGTATATGGTAAATGTAGTTTTTGTAGCACATGTTGCTCCTTATTTAATTCATTTAGCCTGACAGAGTTCATAAAAATGAATGCAACAATAGTAATATTTCATTTAGGTCCACTGGCATTTCTCATGATGTACATTAAAAAGATGTAAAACATATTATAAATGTGAGAGCAGATGTATACACAGACATGCTTTTCACTCCAAGGTACATTAATAGAATGATAAATTCCATGCATTAAATCTATAAGAACCAAAATACTCCAAGTTAAGACATCTGTACAGAATTAGGTGCCAAATGAAATGTCACAATCAAATAAAACATTTCTTTATAAGAATCATAGGATTTTTTTTTTTTTAGAGCTAGAAAGAACCTTTGAAATCACCCAGTACAACTTGCTCATTGACAGACATCTAACCTGAGTTTTAAAAAAATTAAATGACTTAAACAAGCCTACGCAGTGAGTTAGTGAAAAGGCCATAGCTAGAATCTTCCTTCTCCAGGTGCAGTGCTCCTTCTACCACATCATTAGCAGCAATGGCTTATGAAGAAAAAAATGCACAAGATGTGCTCATTTTAGTGTGTCAACAGATGCTTTTTGTGATGCATGCTCATAATTTCTCACACTTCTGCTAACTTGATCAATCTTCCCTCTTCTTGAAGACTGGAACAGGAATCAAACTGGATTCTTTAGACCCTAGAGCACATAGTGCAAATTGAATGGACCCTGTGGGCACTCAGTTGGTTGGTGATGGAGTCAAACATTGGTCACTTATATTCTACATGGGTATTCACACAGGGTCTACTTATCCAAACAAACAAGATCAAAATTGTATTTATTAATATAAAACCTGCATCCTAACTAGACCAACCTAATCTGAGAACTGAAATTTAAAAGAAGTATTACAATTTAAAATGTCTCAACATAGAGCTCAGAACCAAAGCAGACAGAAGCCATGGCAGCAAGGAATGAAAAGGAATAACAATTTAAGTCCCAGAGCACACTGGGTCCACCAAAAAGGTTTCAAAATCACAAATTTAAAAGATTATTAAGACACAGTCTAATTTCTGAAAAGTATATGAAAATTTCAACTGCAATACTTCACCTGATATCTGACATGCGATTACCAAAGACCTAAACTGAAGGCCAGAGAAAACACTAAAACAAACACCCAGCATTGCTGTTGCCCAATTTGGCTTTGAGAAATTATATTTGAGTAACACAAACTTCAGTTTACCCTTCTATGCAGCAGCATAAGTCAGAAACTGTGCCTGTGTCTCAGCTGAAATGTGACATGAAGCTAAGTACGAAGCAGCCAAATCCAGTTTAGACGATGCAGTCTTAGAACAACTCTTACCACAAGGACAGTGAAATATTGCAATAGTAGCAGGTTGCTAACTAATACAAATGATTGGAAGACTCCGCGTAAATGTTTGAATTCAGAAAATTATCAAGGCAGCAAGAAAGACCAAGAAATTAAGGTTAACACAAGCTGTCTTTTGTTCTTTTATAGAAATGTGTGGATGGAAACCATTAACAGCACTGCCTTGGACACTAGTAAAATTCCTGCAGAGTATTTTATAAAGGCAATGAACTTGTATGTGCCTCACTGAACAGACCTGCTATTAAATCTTCCCTAAGAAATGGGATGAGATTGCTGGGGTGTTTTGCGAGCAGTGTGAGCTTTGCCTGTACATAGCCAGGAATTTTAATCACTGACCCCAAAATTATGATTTCCCTAAGTGAAATAAAATAGAAACCAATCCAGTACACACTCTACATCATCAATTTTTAATCTACCTCGTTTTAAAGATTTCTCTTGTTAGAAGTAGATTTGGGGGAAAGGAGTAAAGTAGAAATCTCAAATGATAAATATCCAGCCTTGACAACCCAATCACAAACAAATTAAATGTCCATCTCTGTCACAGCTGGCAACCCCAGCCTGGCCTGAGGGAAATCCTCCATGTTGTTTAGAGTAAATGTATTGGAAGTTAATCAAAATCTAATGAATCCCTTAGGAAAATAGCTCCTTAGTCCACATCTGTAAGAACTGTCCTAGTTTGGAGGAGGTATATACCAGTTGTTTTCTGGGATAACAATTGTTGTATAAATAAGAGAACTGGACACCCCCAGGAAAACATTTCAGCTATGTCTGTTATCCAAATCTACGTCTTCACCCACCAAAGCGTCAAGGTAATTCATCTGTTGATCTGTCTAACAATACATTTTATTACTGACATGTAGGGAGAGAAAAGACCAGAAGGAGGAAAGTTGTCAGGGCAAAGGGAAGAGGCAATTTTTGACTTCTAAACAAAGCTTGTCTGTAATTATTTGGTCTGATCAACCCCTCCAGTTTATTTTGAATTTTCTAAAAGTACGAAAAAAAAAAAAAGATTCTTATAAGGGTGAATTTGGAACATTAATTTAATCAGAGGAAAACAAGGGACATGAAAAAGGCAAGGAAATAAGAAAAAGGTACCAAGAAAGTTATCATCAGCAGTAATCATATTTGTCCTGAACCCTGGTTCTTTTCAGAACTGCTTACAGTGCTGAAAAACGAGCCCTTTCAATAAAAAAAATAAAACCTGTAATAACTACATCAGACATTTTTCTTGGGCTTCCAAGATTCCAGTGCACATTATCTCTAAATCTCATTATTGCCTGGCAATGAAGGGGTCATTATCCCCATTTTGTAGATGATGAAACTGAATTTCGGAGAGATTTGAACCTTGCCAAGCACAGAGCCGATAAGTAGCAAATAAAAATTCCTACCCACGGCTTGAGCTGTTTTTACCTCACCAAGATCAAATTCTCTCCTTTCTGCCCCTCTCTCTTTCTGGTCTTCTCAATGGTTTTCTCTCTCAGGGAAGTCCTATTGTTTATAGTTCCAAATCTAAAGCAAATTAAAAGCTGTCTCATACCAAAAGGCTACTCCAAAGCATGTAATCAGCAAGACAGGTAAAATCACTTGGTTCTATTATGTTGCAGATTATATAATTAGTCAAAGCAAAATGGGGCAAAGAAATGTGGGAGCAAACAGGTTTAGGGCTACACTTCCCTTATGTATATTCAACCTTTGCACAAAGACTTATTGTTCCCGCCTTTCTTAGCAGATTCGAAAGTGCTGGGTTCCAATGCCATTTTAAGGTTTACAATCCCTGGAAGGGCTCACATGAAAATAAGGCAGCAACCATATGGTTCCAGTTTCCTCCTCTGCCCCCACAAAGAAGCCTACTACATACCTCTAATTAAAGGATAAACATTCACACTAGAAACTGTAATTAAAGGATTTATACACACCTAGGATCCTCTTGACAACACACTCATTCATATTAGTATGTAAAAGTTTTATTTACTCCCATGCGAACTTAACAATTGTAATGCGGTTTTATGGTCCATCCCAAAGGCATAACTTAAAGGGGCTGGAGACGCCTTTGAAAAAAGAAAAGGAAAAAAAAAAAAACTAGAAATGTAACTTTTGATTGAAATGATGACTTTTTTGCTGGGTGTGGTGGCTCACGCCTATAATCCCAGCACTTTGGGAGGCCAAGGTAGTCGGATCACCTGAGGTCAGCAGTTCGAGACCAGCCTAGTCAACATGGTGAAACCCTGTCTCTACTAAAAATACAAAAAAAAAAAAATGGCCAGGCATGGTGGCACATGTCTGTAAACCCAGTTACTCGGGAGGCTGAGGCAGCAGAATCGCTTGAACCCAGGAGGCAGAGGTTGCAGTGAGTGGAGATGGCACCACTGCACTCCAGTGGGCAAAAGGGTGAGACTCCATCTCAGAAAAAAAAAAAAAAAAAAGAAGAAGAAATGATGACTTTTTAAAACTTTTTGAAATCTCTCTGAGAACTGTATTTAGTAATCTTTGCTAGGAGTCATTTTGGTGTCCACATACTAGCCCCCTTAGGGACAATATGATGTCACTTAGTGTCAAAATATTATGGGAGCAAGAGCCTAGGAGTTGGAGTCAGAAATGCAATAGCTTTGAATTCTGGCTTTGATTCTTTCTAGGTGCTGACTTGTGGTATATTATTTAAATTCCTTGAGTCTCAATTTCCTCATAGAGCAAGATCAATATATGTTTCACAGGGTAGTTGTGGGGATTGAAAGAGGTAAAGTACATAAAGCCCAACAGAATACCTTGGCACATATCAGGGTGAAAAGCTGCTCTGTTCTATATTTCTTTCTCTAAATTCTAGTAACAAATTTATTCAGCCAGGGTTTCAACAAGTGCTTTTTGTGCTTTTTGAGGTAAAAGGCACAAATCTAAGATTTTAGGCACTAAAAGGGGTAAGTTATTATGTTTTCTTATTCTTAAAGAACTTATAGATTAGTGGAGGACTTATTTATATATTACGTGCACGTATATAAGAAATTTTATCTTAGGCACAATGTGATAAGTAAAACTAATAATTAATATTTATTTAACTCTTTCATTATGCCAAATACTGTGATTTATGCCATTTAGTTTAATGCCTATAACCTTAGTGCTATAGGAGGTGTTAGTAAAGTTCTGTGAAAGCCCAGAGAAAGAAATTATTAATACCAAGAAAGGAAACTCTGAAGCCTCTTCTAGAGTATTTGTGATATTTAAATCAGGTTTTAAAAGATGAGCAGGATTTTAACAGTCTGAGATATTTAATTGTCTAGGAGGAAAAGGCCAGGCACAGTGCCTCACACCTATAATCACAACACTTTGGGAGGCTGAGGCAGGAGAATTGCTTGAGGCCAGGAGTTTGAGCCAGGCTGAGCAACATAGTGAGATCCCTATCATCTCTACCAAAAAATAAAAAAGAATTTTTTTAAAATTAGCCAGGCATGGTGTCACATGCCTGTAACCCTAGTTACTTGGAAGACTGATAGCTTGAGCTCAAGAGTTGAGGTTACAGGCAGCTATGATAATACCACTGCACTCCAGCCTACATGACATAGTGAGACTCAGTTTCAAAAAAAAAAAAAAAAAAAAAGGGAAGTGGAGGGAACAGAAACAGCAAATGTAAAGATCATGAAAGCATTCAGTTCAGTATTTCTAGAAAACACAAGTATCCCATAGTAGCCACTGGACTAGAAGATGAAGCTGTAAAGTTAGGATGGAGATAAATGGTAGAGACCACAGAGACCATGCTAAGGACTGATCATTTCCCTATGAATTACCCAATCAGATCTATGTTTTAAGAAGACCATAGGAGTGAATGCAACAGATTAGAAAGGGGAATAACTGGATATAGAAAGTCCAGTTCTGGGCCTGGAAATAAAAGTCCAACGAGTACATATGTTCACTACTATCCCTGCCAACGAGTTAAGGTAAATGCAGTTCTTTCCAGCGGCATTGGTCTGTGTAGGGGAGAATAAAGATTGAACCTGAATTTGTGGCTGTCACTGCCTTCCAGGAAGATTGGACTCCTGACAGCCTGAACTGTGGATTGAAGGGGTCTTCACGTGGGAAATTCAACAGGCTAAGAAAAAGTTGTTTAATAAAATTTAGGAACCAGAGAGGAGATATAAGTCAAGTCTAGGCCTCAGGAAGATTCATACCGGAATTTTTTTTTTTACATAACTGGGCCTTTTGTAGCTACACATCACACTCATAAAAATTCAATCACCAGTAATGCATCAACTCCAAAACAACGACTTGATAGCCTTTTTTCTTCTTTTTTGCAGTGGGTAGAAGGATAGTTTTTTGATTTTTGTTTTCGCGGGGTTTTTTTTATATTTAATGTTCCTCAGCCTCTCAAGGAAAGGATGTTTATTCTCATCCTTGTTTCCTAAGCCCCTACACAGGACATGGAACATAGAGGATGCTGCATAATTTAATAAATGTTTAATTATTTGATCAATTAATTCAAGTCAGAAGGCCATAATAGGCTAAACCAGACTTCAGCTGGTTCTAGTTATGTGGATCAATGTGAGAGCCACTTCTTTAGCATTTTAGACAAAGTGGCTCCATAAGGACCTTAGGTCCATTTCCAGCCCATCCTTGCATTTGTAAAAAGAAGGTTTCTAGGAGAAGGTTGTTTCCACTTCCCCCAAGCTCTGTAATATGTATAAGACCGCACAAAATGCAATAGAATTTTTTCCCTAAATAGATATTTATTCTACTCTTCAGAACCTTGTAAGCATGGAGTATTAGCATTTTTGTGAATTGGTCTCCCCTGAACAGATAAATGCCTGATATATGCTAATATATATGATTTATGTATCTTTTTAGATAAACAAGCCTATACAAGAAGCCTAGAAGTTACAAACCTTCATTTTCTTCCTTGAGTCTTCTACCAGTCTGTAATTGAGTCCTCCTTGTCTGGTCTCTGTCTGTCTCCACCTTTTATTTATTCCTGCACTTTCTGCAGTGTCTCAGCTCTTTCTTGTTGGCCTTGGACATGGATTTTCAGCCAAATGGTTCCATCCAGTTTTCTCTCCAATGGAGCTGTGTATGACTTGTACAGCTCCAGGGTAACCGAGAAAATAAAGGAAAATGATCATTCCTTGTCCGACTCAAAATTAAATATGTAAAAGACAAATATTTCTTTTGTCTGGTTGCATATTCAAGCAGACTCTATTGATATGCTTACGGAGTTGTTCTGATTTCTTTATTTTTCCAAAGAATCTTTTCTGTCATCCTTGATAGGTATGTGCCAAAACTCCAGAGAGTATGGTTAGAACCCTCACCCCCCAAAAAAGAGGTGGAAGAGAAAATCCTGTCTTGATACAATGCCATAAAGATATAAAGTAGGAAAAATTTTAAAAATTAATTATCATGACATTGAGATTTTTCATATTTAAAAATTATATATCTATTTAACAAATACTTCTTAATGACTCTACTATGAAGCTAACTTCAACCAGCTGGGACATAACATGAACAATGCTGACAGGCTGCAGTTGAAAACATGAGCCCCAACAAGCCTTAATTTCCATGAAAGAGTACAAATTATTACGAACATAATCCAGATGCAAAAAAGGGCTGGCAAACAGAGAACTTTGGATAAATTATGTTCCATTAAACATGCCATTATTTTTAATGCTGTACTTACTGGACACTTTGTAGACCTTTTTTTTTTTTTTTTTTTTTTTTTGACAGAGGATGATTACAGAATTATCTTCATTTCTGAAAGAACAAAACCAGAAAAAATTAAACTTCAACTTAAAAGATTAGATCAAGCACAAAATTGTTTCATGGCCAAATTTGAAGGGTCTTGTTTAAGATTAAGATGAAGAGAGGGGCTACTCACAGAGAGAAAGGATTTCAGATCTTGCCAACATTTAAATCTTGTATAACACAAGTTGGGGATTAGTCACAAGAAACAACAGAAGGAAAGCAGTTCATTGGATACACCAGTCTTTTGCACAGTTCATCCCCACTAATTAAAACACCTTTCCCACTTGGCAAACTACTGTTCAACTCTCAAAACCCAAATCAGTTGTCACCTTCTCTAGGAGGCCTTCCCTACTCCCACCCCAGTTGAAGTTAATCCTGCCCTTCTCTGTATCATTCTCTACTGTGTACATAATTCTATTATTGTGCTTAATTATATTTATTTGTTCATATATCAGCTTCTCTACTCAAAATATTAATTCCTTGAAAGCAGGCCAATATCTTATTGATCTTTGAAAAAGCAGAGTATCAGAAACAAAATAGGAACATTATTCACTTCATGCAACTAAAGAAGTAAGGACTAACTGTGCAAAATTGCTAAGCAGTTATTCTTGAAACATATTTTGCACAGCCGAGAAGTCAAACAACATTCTGTCTTCAGCACCTTTGCCCTTCTTTGGCAATTTCTTTCACTCCCTTGATTTCAGCTGTTCTCATTATGATTACCAAATCTGCATTTTTCATTCTTGAACTTTTGTCCAGATTCTAGATTCACTTTCGCTGCCTGCTGAACATTTCCACATGAAAAGCTCATGAATACCTCAACTTTCAATATACCCAAAAAGAATTTATTAGTCCTCTGTCACAAATTTACCCTTCTTGCTGTGTTCTCTGTATTGGTTCATTGCTTCACCATCATCCCTGTATGACAAGTTAAGCACTTAGAATCAGCTTTTCTCCTCAATTTTGCATCCCCCACCCTATTCTCCCGTTGCCAAGTCCTTTCAGTCTGCCTATCTATAGTCTTTTGCTTACCTCTTCTCTTTTCCACTTGTACTGAATTAGTTCAAGCTCTCAATATATTTCTCTTGACCAATGTAATAAGCTGCTAAGAGGCTTCCTGCTTCAAGCCTTTTTAACACAACTCCCATTATGCTGCAAATTACTTCCCTAAAACAACATATTTATGTCAGTTTCCTGCTCAAAGACAACACTGATGGCTCTTCACTGGTGCAATTCCTCCTTCTGGCCTGCCAAGGCCTCTGAGAGAGCCCCATGATCTCCCCTTTTCCTATGCATCCGTCATTTTTTCATACTGCCCCACACAGTGCACACTCCATTCACACAGCCTCTAGACATACCTCTTTACTCCTCAAACACGCCCTCTGCTGCCCCATCCCCAACAACGTTGTTCTACCATAGTGGGAAGGTCTTCCCCTCTCACACTTCTCCATTTCCCTATCAATGTCCTATTCATCCTCTAGGCGAGTGTTTCTAAACCTGTACTCCATAGACCCCCAAGGGTCCAGAGGTAAAATTAAGAGATTTGTGATTTGGATGGGAGAAAAATTACATTTCCATTTCCAATAATTCCTAACTGAAATGTAGTATTTCTTTTTACTGTGAATCTAGGCAACAAACAATAAAAATATTAGAAGTACGTAAGACTTTGTCACAAATAGAAATCACAGATATGTCCATATCACATTATAGTCATGACAGATATCTTGAATTATTACTTATGCTCATTACTACTTTAAAATCACAATAGTTATTACACCTGCAAATGAAATTTTTTATTTAATGCCTTAATAAAGAAGTGTACTTATTATTATATCACAATTTTTTTATATTTCAATAGCTATTTTGATACAGTTGGTTTCAATTATAATCCTTTCTCTTTCATTTTATACATTCCAAACATTATTTTGAGAACAGGTCATTAGACACAATAATGGTTAAGGATGACCATCTAGGTTTATCCTAAACTCTACCACAAGATGTTTTCCCACACCTCACCCCTACCCCACATAGTATAAATTAATATCTTCTTCTACCTGATTCCATCGACTAGTTGAAACTCCTCCTGAGGCTCTCAGGAGGCCTGCCTTCTGCCTGTCTTCTTTTGTAGTTATTTATTAGTCATTTACTAGGCTTTGAGATCCTGGGGATAGGAACATTTATTTCCTGTTTTTAAGTAGCCCGTGGTGATTGCGTTCATGGTGGGTGATGAACCTGAGTTGTGCTGAACACATTTCTTTTTCAGGGAATGTTTTAGGTTGAAGGAAATCAAATCAAGAAAATAAACATGTTGCTAACGTATTCTGGTGGGTGAAGCAAGTTTGTCAACTTATAACACAAACTGAACTGCTTTATTCTCCTACCTGATTTCTGTGTCTCAAAACAAGACAGGAAAAAAAAGGCAAGGATGAAAAAGGTGACTAGAATTCTACCTTTGATAATCCAGACACATGGCATTGAATAATTTATTGAAATATATATATATATCTTTAGGTATATATGACTATATATACATATACTGCCTATCAATGGTTTGGCATGGAGTGTATAGTGTATAGTGTATACACAATATATTAAATATATATTATTTTATTTATAGTTCCATCATACAAGTAACAGTTTAAACAAGTTGGAAAGAACATGTGGAATACTGACCAATCAAAAAACATCCATGCTTCAGGGTCAACAAAGGTATTTTCAAAACAATGATTTTTATTATTGCTTGCTATTGCATAACATAAGGTCTTTGTATGAGGATATAAAACAGTTCCTTCAATGAAGGTATTTGATGTTCATTGATACCCAAATCCATAATCTTAATGGTATGGTTTAAAGAAATAATGTAACATAACACATGCATGGAGTACTCATCTCTGAACAATTAACAGAGATTGATAAAAATCAACACCAGATAAACACCCTTTTGACAATGAGCCTCATTATATGACGCATAGGAGAAACAGAAGTTGTGAATGATAAAGACAATATAAAAGAAAATGCTGCAAGAGATTCAATTTAATACAAAGATGAATATTACAAATACACGTTTAACTGAATAACCAAATATTTAGTCATTCTTTTATATTATTCCCACTAAAAAACTAAGACATAACAAATGGCCCCAAAACCATCTGCTAGGAACATCCATTTGCATGCTAATTTTTTATAATTCATAGTTTGAAGTTATTTGTGCAAGCTTCCTATTCTCCTTCTTTAAATTTTGGCCATTTCTGTGTTTCCTGACTCATTCCTACTTCTTACAACAGGCAAAGGAATTACCAATATTGGTAGTAGTAATAATAATAATAATAATAATAATAATGTTCTGTAGCTTTTAATGTTTTAGCTACTAATATTTCATGTTAATTCTCATAAGAACACTCTAAGGAAAACAGGACAGGTATTGCACTAAATATATAGATAAAGGGACTAAAGCTCATGGAAGTTAAGTAATTTGCTCAAGTTCCCACAGCCTGTGAATAATGAATAACTGAGTCAAAACATGTATCCAGGCCTAATGAGTCTGAATGCAGTTCTCTTTCTGTTTCCATTCTACCCAAGGAAGAGTTAAAGATCATATAACTCCATCTGGGTGATTTCCGAATCTAATTTCAGCTCTTTACCAATCATTGTGGTTAAAGGAATGATTTACCACAGATATACAGTAGGCACTTGGTTATTTGTTCATTTAATTATGCAACAAATACTTTTTTTAGCACCTCACATTTGCAAAGCCTATAAAATTGATTGGCAGATCCAGTTGCCCGTAAGCACTTAGAGTATTTACATTACAAGGAAACAACTTAGCCTGGCATATTTTTAACTTTTCAGGATAGTTTTCAAAGGGGAGTCAACATGGACAACAACTTATTAGTCATTCTTGTACCCATCCTAATTGTTAAGAGGAAGAAGGTAGAGAAGGACACTGTGTGGAAAATGAAAGGCTGTCATAGTGAACACTGTAGTACATCACCCAGATACCACCTCACCCAAGGTCATTCTCCCTCCCCAGGAGCAACCTACATCCAACGACTAATCTACGCATGGGTGCAAAGTCCAAGCCTCATTGTGGAGCCAACAGTGCCCCCCTCATGCGTAGACCATCCCAGCCCCTGAACCCAAACTGACTGTCCAATCCTGCTTCCTCACTCTGTCATAGACATTAATCTCACGGGACAAGAAAGAAAGTTCTTAAATGGGATTTTGAGCCAAATTGCCAACTGACCAGTTGTTGTTGATCTCCTCACTTATGGTAGATGGAGCATAAATGGCCCCTGACATGTGTCAGTGGTGCTATTGTTAAAATTTCCACCACTGGAGAACTGAAATGGTAATCCACTGAAAGAAAATGACTGGTAGGTGTAATGCCTCATGCACTTGAGAAATATGGGAGAAATGGCAAGTGTAAGGATAGTGAAGGCTATTTCTTGGAGCAATCAGTGATTTTGGAGAAAGATAATGAAAGGCTGAAGGTGATTAATCAGCAATTGAAGGCTAATTATCAAAGTCGGAGCACCTCAATCCTGCATATAAAGAGTCTCATCTCCTTCAGTCAAGGGACAAAAAGCTGAGGATCAGAACCTGAACTTTACAAGTAGCAGAGTTGAATTCTTGTTTCCTCCAAGTCACTATGCCAAGGCCAAGATTCTGATTTGGAAGAAATGAGACCCTGAGATATGGAATAGCATATCTTTGAAAATCAGGAATCACCAAGTTCTCCTGAACTCTCTGGACTTCCAGAAGTAACCCACTCCTCCCTATAAAAATCTAGCATTTCCTCTCTGCTTGAAGATGATATACAGGCTCCGTCCTTGCAAGACAGCATGGATCCCCTCAGAACATTCCCCCAAATTGTCTCCCTGGCTATTCAATGATTATCTAGTATCAAGTCACAACAAAACATAGTTGATGTTGAGCTGGGCCTGCTGAGCAGAAAGAGACAGTATCTGCAAAGA